TGCCTGACACTGGTGCCTCCCCTTGTGGCGCACCACAGCATGGCACACCCCCTCCTCTTGGCATCTACGAATATACTAGTATATCTTTTCAGGGGCAATTGTCTCCTAAACTTTTAGCTTCACCGTATCTGAAGAAAAGTAAAATCTGTATTTTAAAACCGTCCAGGAAGTATCAAACTCACAGCATGATTTACACTCCCTGGAATGCTAGGTTTACTATTATGGGTCTGTTTGTGCTGGGCCTTAACCGTGCAGTCAGCTAGGACTCCGACGGGGGCTTTTACAGCCTGGTTTGAGCAATAGCTCGTAAATGATTCCACCCATATTAAAGGAGATGTGTAATTCAGTGAACTGACAATGCATATATAACCCTTTTGTTTGCCATGTGGATGATGAAATACATAAACGAGTTGTACCCGTGTTTCAGCATTAGACAAGGTAAGCATCCTTGACGTTTCATTACCGAGCTGCCACCAGAAACCATGGTGACCTCAGACAGACTGAGACCCACCACATGCTAAATGAGAATGTCTCAGTTCTAGGTAGAAACTTAAAATCAATGGAATGAAGAGTTGCGAGATTAAGATATAAATGTTTAAATGCAACTCTGAGAAAAGTTTTGCATGCTTAAAACGAATTCAGGCTGGATAGAAAATGCCTACCGCTACCTCATAAAGCATTGTTTATTTTCTCTGATGAAGCCTTGCTCCCTTGCTACCCTTTCCTTGCCAACATGTGACGTGCTCAGGGGCAGTTTCCAGTCACTGCTGCTGCCAGCCAGCTGGTCACCACAGCAGTCAGCACACTGACCCAGGAGAGCACCGAGGCGCCCCACCATCAGCCAGTTTGCATGATGCAACCTCAGCAATGTGGAAGCTCCAACCGCCCCTGCACTCTCTGGCTCAAGCTTGGCCGTTTGGGGAGGCTGCCAGGACAGCACCAGGAGGAGAGCCAGGGGGAGCCTTTTGCCAGAACCAGCAGGTGGCAATGGCCAACAGCAGCTCGGAAGGCAGATTAGTCTTTCCAGCAGTTAAGACAGCCAACAGAGGTGGGAGCCAACGCTGCCCTTGTTAACCAACGTATAGGCATTGTTATAAATGACATCAGAGCCCCCTTGTACATTTCTCACTGGGCTTGTTAACCAGGTGGTAGTTTTACCAGAGTCATCCGTGCTCCAAGCAAAGCGTATGCTATATCATTTAACTTACATGGGAGGCCAGGGAATCGCATTTCTTGGAAGAGTGTCTTGGAGACACAATAACAATGATCTCTGGTATTTATACAGTACTGTTCTCCAAAGTGGTTAACGCACCTGACAGACGGCCTCTAAATCAGACTTAGAACATTGCTCATGAGTGGAGGAGGAAGTGCGATCCAATCACTTTAGAAATTAGAAAGCTGAAAATGTAGATTCAGTATTTTGGAGTTAAGGTCATGCACAATTTGAGTTAGAGTCGTGATGGACATCTACAAGTTCCGAATGGCATTTTCACACACAAGGCAGCATGTCAGTTGAAGGAGTATATAAAACTCTGAGTGATGCCCGTACATTTGTGCCCATTATCTGTTCACTTTGAATGACAAGACTGAAAGACAGTAGAATACAGACCTCTTTTCATTTTGATGTGAAATGGGATTACATATATACTAGAGACGTGAAAGAGGGCTTCCCCAGGGGCTCATGATAAAGAATCCGCCTGCCAATATCAGGAGATGCAGGAGACTTGGATTCAATCTCTGGGTTGAGAAGATCCCCTGGAGGAGGAAATGGCAACCCACTCCAGTATTTTGGCCTGAAAATTCCCATGAATAGAGGAGCCTGGCGGGCTACAGTCCATAGGGTCACAAAGAGTCGGACACGACTGAGCGCTTGAGCACACACACACACAGAGAAATGAAAAAGGTTTGTTAAAAATTTGTTCTAAATTCTTTCGAGAGCAGAGATAATATAGAAAACAGATGTTAGAAAAGATGTCTTCCAAATTGGAAGAAGTTTTCAATAAGTTGTAAGGTTTCTGAAAAGAGGAAGGCCTAACAATCAACTAGTATTTATTGCTTGCCTATAATGAGTTCAGCACTGTTTCAGGGCTTACATACTCAAGAAATACATTTTTAAAAAAATCTAAGACCAAGTCTGTGCTTTTAAGGGTATTACAATGTTGTTGACAGAGCCAAACTAATGAAAGCATTTGTGGCCAGCATTAAAGGAGACTGTGTCTAGACTCTTCCTGCAGTTAGACCAGAAGGAAAGGAGAGAATTGGTGAGGACTGGCATGGTCCAGGGAGGCTGCATGTAGCAGAAGGAATACACTTGGCTAGGTCTTAGCATGCGTAAGACTGGGCCCCCCAAACCAAATCATACAGAGCCCTAAACTAGGAGTCAGAATTTCATCTGCCACAACATAATGATGATCACTCTAATGAGCTTCCATCACTAAAAATCAGTCGTGTGCCAGGAACTATGTTGGATACTGATGCACAAGATGAGCTGTGATAGTTTTTAGAAACAGGGAAAGGAGTCTTGTAAAAAGCCTATAAATGCTGATTTGTGGTTGCTGTTGTTCAGTCCCTAAGTTACATCCGACTCTTTGCGACCCCATGGACTGCAGCACGCCAGACTTCCCTGTCCTTCACTGTCTCCGAGAGTTTAGTCAAACTCATGTCCTTTGAGTTGGTGATGCTATCTAATCATTTCATTCTCTGTCCCCCTTCTCCTCCTGCCTTCAATCTTTTCCAGTATCAGGGTCTTTTCGAAAGAGTCAGCTTTTTGCATCAGGTGGCCAAAGTATTGGAGTTCAGCTTCAGCATCAGTCCTTCCAATGAATATTCAGGACTGATTTCCTTTAGGATTGACAAGTTTGATCTCATTGCAGTCCAAGGAACTCTCAAGAGTCTTCTCCAGCACCACAGTTCGAAAGCATAAATTCTTTGGCCCTCAGCCTTCTTTATGATCTAACTGTCATATCTGTATATGACTACTGGAAAAACCATAGTTTTAACTATATGGATCTTTGTTGGCAAAGTGATGTCTCTGCTTTTTAAATTTTTCATAGCTTTCCTTTCAAGAAGCAAGTGTCTTTGAATTTCATGACTGCAGTCAGTGGCTTCCCAGGTGGCACTAGTAAAGAATTCAGGAGACATAAGAAATTCAGCTTTGATCCCTGGATCAGGAAGATCCCTTGGAGGAGGACACGTTAGCCCACTCCAGTATTCCTGCCTGGAGGATCCCATGGACAGAGAAACCTGGTGGGCTACAGTCTACAGGGTCACAAAGTCAGACATGACTAAAGCGACTTAGCATGGTCACACACACACATGTCAACATCCACAGTGATTTTGGAGCCCAAGAAAATAAAATCTGTCACTGCCTCTACTTTTCACCTTTCTGTTTGCCGTGAAATGCTGTCAAGTCCACTCAAATTCCATTTAGATTGCTATCCATGCTTACAACCATCACAAAAATCCTAGAAATCAAACTTACCCCAAAGAAAAAGCAGACCATATTGCCAGAGTTAAAACTTCCTTCCACTGCCTGCCTTTACAAAGCCAATACTTTTATGCCTCTTTGAAAAGCAGAACCAACTAGAAATGGAGTGGAGAACTGAAAATGATATTTTACCATCTTAACTCCTTCAGTCTCCCAGGGGATAAACAACTGAGGTACCTTAGTGAAAGCTCTAGAACTCAGGAAAATACATTTGGAAAATCCCTGGATGGGTTAATTCTTCAAGAACATCTTGATTCTATGAGCCAGAAAATAAAGCCAAGAATACCAGGTGGCAATTTTAAGTTCAAGGAAAGTCTAAAGATTCATTGACTCTGAAACACTTGTGCTAATACTCAAGTGTCTGGACCTGGGTACAGGGCCCCTCCCTTGCCGCATCTTTCCCAGGTCAGAATGGGGTTTTATTATGATGCTAACATATCCTCCCTTTCTTTTGCTGTTACCAGTGTCAACTTGCAAACAAACACAGGGCTTGCTCATGTTTTTATTCCAGAGTCGCAAGAAAGGTAGGCTTCAGCCATTTCTCTCTCACAAAGCCGTGAACATTTCAGCATGACAGAGTCATTTTACACGTTTCCTTGTCTCCTGGCTGTTTCTAAGCAGCATTTAGCACAACTTGTTTAGAACTGCCTTTTCCTGACTTTGGATGATTATCATGTTAGGTTTTTTAAAAAAAGAGAGAGAACATTTTGAGCTGACTTCCTATCTGGTCTCATTCACAGCTCATTTCATCCCGTTCAGTTCTGAAGCATCTGGGCAAATATGAAGGCATTACTCAGCTCTCTCCTGACATTTGGAGCACCTGTGATAAAGCTCCACACGGTTCTTCATATTGAAGAATATGGACATTGCTGTTGGAAAACTAGAAAGCAGACTGGCTGAATGGAGATAGTCATAGTGTCCTGCCCCCTTCCCTTCTGGGTGTCACGGCCCTGAGAAAGCAGCCTAGGGTTTGGAGGGTGCTCTTGATCGCAGAACAGAACCATGTGGGCCACTGATGTTCAGGGATCTGTAGGGAACTCGCTGGCTGAACAGGGTTGAACTTACAGGGCTGAGTACCTTCTGTATCCCTTCTTCCTTTCATTTTGAGATGATTCGGAAGGTGAACTTACATACATCGTAATGTGGAGGCTTTAAACACAGCCAACTACAGTGTCTTCTTTCCAGTCCTTGAACCGACCAAGCTTGATTTTGCCACAGGACCCTTGCCCTAACTGGGCCCCTACATGGGACTTGCATGCTTCCCAAGTTCACACTCTAGAACCCCACACTCAAATAGCGCCTCCTCAAAGGAGTCTTCACTAACTGTCCATCTAAGGGAGTATGCTAACCCTTGGTACTTTCTACACATTTTCCTGTATTATTATCTTTATGGACTGCAACCCGCCAAGCTCCTTTGCCCATTGGATTCTCCAGGCAAGAATACCCGAGTGGGTTGCCTTGCCCTCCTCTAGGGGATCTGCCCAACCCAGGGACTGAACCTGGATCTCCTGTG